CTACCGACGACATATCTTATAGGACATCGTTGAATTGTGAACGCTACCGACGACATATCTTATAGGTCAACGGTGAATTGTGAACGCTGCCGACGACATATCTTATAGGACAACGTTGAATTGTGGACGCTACCGACGACATATCTTATAGGACAACGTTGAATTGTGGACGCTACCGACGACATATCTTATAGGACAACGTTGAATTGTGAACGCTACAGACGGCATATCTTATAGGACAACGTTGAATTTTGAACGCTACCGACGACATATTTTATAGGACAACGTTGAATTGTGAACGCTACCGACGACATATCTTATACGTCAACGTTGAATTGTGAACGCTACCGACGACATATCTTATACGTCAACGTTGAATTGTGAACGCTACCGACGACATATTTTACAGGGCACTGTTGAATTGTGAACGCTACCGACGACATATCTTATAGGGCAACGTTGAATTGTGAACGCTACCGACGACATAACTTATAGGGCAACGTTGAATTGTGAACGCTACCGACGACATATTTTACGGGGCAATGTTGAATTGTGAACGCTACCGACGACATATTTTACAGGGCACTGTTGAATTGTGAACGCTACCGACGACATATCTTAGAGGACAACGTTGAATTGTGAACGCTACAGACGGTATATATTACAGGGTAACGGTGAATTGTGAACTTTACCGTTGATAGATCTTACAGGGTAACGTTGAAATGTGAACGCTGCAAACGATAGATATAACATGGCAGCGTTTTAATTCTGAACGCTACCGACAATATGTATTACAGGGTAACATTGAAACGTGAACGCTACAGTCGATAGATATTACAGGGCAACGTTGAGTTTTGAACGCTACCGACTGCAGATATTACAGGGTAACGTTGAATTGTGAAGCTACCGTCGATTTAACTTATAGGGCAACGTTGGAATTGTGAACGCTTACGTTAAAACTTCGCTGAATAGCAAACGCTACCGCTAATACATAATGTAGTCAGTTAGGCGTATTGCGTCACGTGTCGACATGCTTACTGGAGGTCCCATATTTTGATATACACTGCTGGGATCCGACACTACGTATTGGAATGCGATAGAAGTCTATATTTATAAACTCTTCCATATCAATGAATACGTACAAAACTGTAGGTAATACAATCTTAACACGGATGTAAAAGTCATATTTTGGTAAATTAGAATATAATTTGTACATGGAAGTGAAATTCACCGTTAAGTTTAATTAAATCAGCCGACGATTTGGCTCAATTTCGGGTGGTTAACACCATTGGTTCTTCAATTTAATTTCACTCCTGCCACCAAAGACATTACTTCATGGTATAGAAGACAAACATAAACAGCTACTGCCGTTTTATCCTTCACGATACCCTTTTCGATGTTCTTTCTTATCAGTTATCCCATTTGGCGACCAAGTTATAAATGATATAAGAAAAAAATTAACGTATGTGCGAGTATTATCGGGTGGAATAAATAACCAGGGGGAGAAATGCCGCATTGGCCTGGGTTAATAGTTTACATAATATTTACGATTTCGAGTTATACATGTATATTCCATCATAATATACAAACATATGTCGATTATATCTATTCCAGCACGTAATGAACACGTGTTCTCGTGCCTACTTCAGTACCTTTACGCCCATAGTATACAAGATGACCTAGATTGTCCCACGATTGTTTTTCATATTGGGCTATTCTTTTGCGTGTGCAAATATTTGTCACGTGATGCATTTTCTTCATTTCACAGCTAGCTTCAAGCGTTTTTATAATTTCTGACTCTCCGGACAAAATTTAATGTCCTAGTTTGCCTGTTTAACCTATATATATTAGGAAATGATAATGTATGCCTTTTAATGTATTGCTTATCGTTAAAGTACAAGAATTGAATAAAGAAATGCAAATTGACTGCTCCCTTATCGGTACTCTTCATCCTGAGCAAGTTGAGCGATTTCGAAGTTTCTGTATGGCTAGAGGGTGGGGATGATATTGTATATAGGAAAAAAACACCGTAGCGGGACAGAGATCCTTAGTACATACCTGTAGTGATAGGTATCGGTTAAACATAGAAATCTGGGGTCTATATGCCATCCCACCCAGGTAACGGTCGCGGTATACGCTAAACTAGATACATGTAGTTATGCAAGTCCTAAACTAACGTTACGTTAATGATGATGTAAGTGGGCGTATTGACTATCACAAACAGAGCACGACTGTGACACCCATGGGGACACACAAGGGGACACCCACGGGGACACACAAAAAGACACCCGCTCGAGTCTCATTTTCTGGGAGATTATGCCAGACACAAGTCTATATGATCTGATCATAGCATGTGGTGTTGTTTATCACTATGTTTGGGGGTTTAACGTCAATGGAACAGCCAGGGTCATATTGTTTATCTCCTGAACTATATGTTTTTGAAAAGACTATTGAATAACATTTATCAAGAAAGAATGACCCTTACCAACTTTACCAATGTTTTCAACCGACTTACATCTCATGTTTTACACTGTTATTTCAATAGGCCAGAAACATCAACCTTTTGACATCGGTCTTCAACGGATGAATTCAGGTCATCTTTACGGTAAGTTCGGCGGAACATTCTGATCGTGAGGTTTACATATTTAGGTAATTCTTCAGGTTGAAATACAAAAGGTGCGTGTACTTTACCCTTACTCGGCAAAGAATAGCAACTCCGCGTTTTTATTTGCATTACAGGAAAGTTTATAGAAAGAGCGTTGCACGTGCATGGCTTGTCGGAAGTATAACACATGAACGCGCATGCGTTATCGTCCAAAAGTGTCTTTCATCACAGACGTGGTAGAATACATACTTTATTGTAATGACCGTGGCGCTTTTTTGTATCAAATATTGTCCAAACCAAACGAAAAATATTTTTATAGCAATCAGGTTTAATTGGGCCCGGCTGTGATATTTCATCTTAAGACAGTAGAGATAAACGAGACATGATCCAAAAACTCTTGTAGAAATCAGAAAAAAATGGGAAAGAAGTGTATTTCCAACTTTTCTTCTTAGGTGGAAAAACAATCAATATAGAGGTTGAATGACAGAGATACAATAGACAACACTGAACAACGTTAATTTGTAAACAGCACTGAAGCAGTAACCTGTTTGTATAAGTTTTAGTGTATAACAGTTGTGTTTACCTAGCTAATTCGTTTTCAATTGCACAAATATTGACTCGATGTATCCTGAAATTGATTGCAAGATGCGCATGCGCTCAACTGTTACAGTAGATTGGTTCCTTCGTTCGGAACACGCTCGGGTATAAAGTGTTTCTCTAGTCTCTGTAGAACGATCGGGTATAAAATGTTTCTCTAGCCTCTGTAGGACGATCAGGTATAAAGTGTTTCTCTAGCCTCTGTAGAACGATTAGGTATAAGGTGTTTCTCTAGCCTCTGTAGGACGATCAGGTATAAAGTGTTTCTCTAACCTCTGTAGGACGATCAGGCATAAAGTGTTTCTCTAGCCTCTGTAGGACGATCAGTTAAAAAGTGTTTCTCTAGCCTCTGTAGGACGATCAGGTATAAAGTGTTTCTCTAACCTCTGTCGGACGATCAGATAAAAAGTGTTTCTCTGGCCTCTGTAGGACGATCAGTTATAAAGTGTTTCTCTAGCTTCTGTAGGACGATCAGGTATAAAGTGTTTCTCTAACCTCTGTAGGACGATCAGGCATAAAGTGTTTCTCTAGCCTCTGTAGGACGATCCGTTATAAAGTGTTTCTCTAGCCTCTGTAGGACGATCCGTTATAAAGTGTTTCTCTAGCCTCTGTAGGACGATAAGGTATAAAGTGTTTCTCTAGCCTCTGTAGAACGATTAGGTATAAGGTGTTTATCTAGCCTCTGTAGGACGATCAGGTATAAAGTGTTTCTCTAACCTCTGTAGGACGATCAGGTATAACGTGTTTCTCTAACCTTTGTAGGACGAACAGGTATAACGTGTTTCTCTAGCCTCTGTAGGACGATCAGGTATAAAGTGTTTCTCTAACCTCTGTCGGACGATCAGATAAAAAGTGTTTCTCTGGCCTCTGTAGGACGATCAGTTATAAAGTGTTTCTCTAGCTTCTGTAGGACGATCAGGTATAAAGTGTTTCTCTAACCTCTGTAGGACGATCAGGCATAAAGTGTTTCTCTAGCCTCTGAAGGACGATCAGGTATAACGTGTTTATCTAGCCTCTGTAGGACGATCAGGTATAAAGAGTTTCTCTAGCCTCTGAAGGACGATCAGGTATAAAGTGTTTCTCTAGCCTCTGTAGGACGATCAGGTATGAAGTACATATTACCAGTCCCTGGTGGACTTTACACGTATTTATCATCCGCCAACAATTTTATTTACATAATGTTCAAATACCAATGATAGGATCAAACAAGACTGATATTTGATATCATTTCATAATCTGGAAATCAATGAGATTATATTATCAGTTTGTTTATTATAACGATCGATTGTATACTGTTTAATTTCAAATTTATTTAATTACTCTTGTATTAAGTAATTTACAGGTTTAAACAAAACCTTCATGGAATTGTAATCGACTTGAAGCTCCGCAGTACTCGAGGGGTACATGTAATGTTGTTTTCCTGTCGTTCAGGTGTGAAACTCACCTCTAATTTGTTCATGTATACCTCGTGTACGGGCCACGAGATACGTGAAAGAATCGAAAAGAAAAAAAAAAGAATATAGGATCTTTTCAATGGATCTTTATAACACGGTGCTGTCGCTAACCTGGGATTTACGTATCATCAGCTTTAACAATATCAAATATACAATTGAAACGTTTTAACAGTAGCACGCGCGCTGTGTTTTAACTGGACAGTCCAATGTGAAGACAATGTGTGATGTCATGCAGTACACGTCACTCGCTGACTTAGGAAATGGATGTGTTCGAGTTAATACACGGGGCCATGTTAAGTTGACGGGGCCCGAGTTGAACGTTTTGATTGTGAAATGAACAGCTATTCAGGAGATTTTGGCGTGTTCGTATAAACAGCGATTCCATACAGATGACGGGACTATAAAGAAGAATTATCTATAAATGGAGTCACGATAACGGGATTTCAATCTAAATATCCCACTGGCTACCTGAACATGCGATTTATGATCTTATAACTGCAATTATTAGCATGACAAGGGCAGCGATCTCATGATGGCTTGTTGGTATTTATCGTGTATTATAACTCCCCGGAACAGTGTACATGTATTACCGGTGAGAGGGAAGGTGATGGTTTAACTTTTATTAACGGTAGTCATATCTTACCTGCGGATGTGCTATCTTACCTGTATTTTACCTGGGGATGATTAGCTGTGTGTCACCTTTTTACTGATTTGTACACCATTGTGACTGGAGATATAAGTGGCGTGCATTGTTACGTGCGATGGACACGAGATTCCTGACGGACTGGGAGATACGTATGGTAACTTAGGTCCTAAGCCCCTGTGGTATTAATGAGGCTGTATTTTGAGGGGGTGCTACTTACTTAATACAGTCATGGAAGGTTACGATCGGATACCGGCATTTGTAAGTATATACAGTTGTTGATAATTCAAAAAGATAAATTATTTGTAAACGGTTATTTGTAAATATATAAAGATTCGGTTAGTTATGAATTCAAAAAGATAAATTATTTGTAAGTTTATAGTTTAAGTTATTTGTAAGAATAGAAAACTTCAGCTATTACCCAAAGTTATGTGTAAGTAAATAGACAAGTGTATGTCTTCTGTGATAAGACCTTGATCTGAAATAAGGGATTCTATTCATCATTTATATAAAAATATTGATATCTTGCAGGTATGACTTTTTTGCCTGTTGATTTAATTTCACTTTTAAACATAAATTAACGTTCAAAATCAGTACATTTTGTTTGACACACGTTATTTAAACTTAAAGAGCAATATTTTGATGATATGATTTCATAGACATCGAATTACAAATCACAAAAACAAATGAAGTCAGAATCGACAATTTGTATGTAAAGTTCATCATCAAAATCTTTGGCCTAACTTCATACAATGATTATATACCAATGAGCCTTTTTTAATTCATCATGCCAGTTTCGGGAACTTTCTATGGCGCCGACAATAAGAAACGTTCCACATGGGAACTCTGACGGCTGATTCGTACCATGTTATTATATTTGGTCTTTTGGCGATTGAATACGAAACGACGATATCTATTGTTAAAATACTATGATAGAAACATTTGAATTGTAATAATTGTGACGTATACGATGTCGATACGTTTTTAACCTAAACCGTTAGTAGTGCAACCTTTGTAGATTAATATCGATTTTGGTCAATGTTTATTTTCAACAAGGGGTAAGTTAATCCTTTCCATGCCGCTGAAACTATCGTCAAGTGAACGGCCGTCTAATTTCAATATATGCCCTACCACCTCGTTATAATCACTTATGATCTCGTGAAGTGAAAACCGGAAGTGGTTTTGGGATCAGTGTCTGTCTTGGTAGTTGCACATACGGAGACCAAAATCGCCCAAACTGTTGTTATACAAACTATGCATGATGTTTGGAAGATGATGATGAACCGGAAGTTGAAAATAATATTTCTTTAATAATGATTCTTCCAATTTGGGAAGACAGCATTACAGGGCCCGTATATTCATGAAACCGTTCTCATGCTCAATCATGGATTTTGTGTTCAAACCAACTTATTTATTAATTTCTTATCAGATCAATATGTTAGGCATGGGCCAAATATCCATGCTTGACCGTGAGAACGGTTTCATGAATATACGGGGCCTGTAATGCTGTCTTCCCAAATTGGAAGAATCATAATTAAAGAAATATTATTTTCAACTTCCGGTTCACGAAACCGTGCTCAAGCATGGATTTTGTGCTCAAGCTTAATTTCTTGTTCTGGTTATAAATTCATAAACAAATCATATTTTGCCAAAGGTTTGCAAACATTTTGAAGAGACTTGACCCTGAATACTGTTTTCAATGTTTACATTTGACATTTTAATCGTTTGACTTGATTTAAGTGAGTAACAAGAATGTTGGTTTCAGCACAGACTCCATACTTGAGCATGAGAACAGTTTCATGAATACAGACTAGGCTGCAATTGCACCCACTAATGTTAACCATTTACGTTACACTAATAGACGATACTGTAAATTACAATGTTCTGTATCGACAATGCCAACCACTGGTGTAACCAAGGTTACTGTAGTGGTAGTTGACATGTAAGCATATTCACCACTATTTGTTTTACCATGGTAAACGTGGTAAGGATTTGAAACAAACCTCATACATACATTCTAATATCGCTTAAGAAAGACCTTCAGTTTCGGGGATCATTAGTTTGTTCGGGTTTAACGTCCTCACAAGAGCTAAGACCATATGAAGACGGGTACCCGGGGAGATATTACCGGGAGCAATCAGTGGGGAAGCACGAGAAAAGAATATACAGATATCCAAAGTTTGACAATAAGGGCAGCACTAATACATATTATTATGTGTCTAGGAAAGGCTCATAAAAGAAGACTCTAGATCCTTCAGGGGGCCATGCTAGTCACCTATTGAAGAATTATTTCACTAAACCTGCAGGACTTACAAGGATTACAACTTATTAAACGCAAAACCCTGACAAACAACACAGACACATATACATGGTTGACCTCTTTTATGTTTAAACGCGAAATACGGTGTAATAAATAGACTCAGTTTTAGTTTATTTATTTCTGAGAGCCAGCCGACTCATAGGTTAAATATCAAACCATTACATCATGTAGTACATGTATATCGAAATTATGTATACAAATATAAACTAATAAGTGGAGAGTGAGCTTACAAAGTACATGGGTAGTTTTTCATATCGGACATTGATTTCTCTACGTTTTCTCGTAGCACAATTTAAATATGCACTCGTACAATCTGAGACGTCAGATGAACACTTTTATCACATAATGTACTGTGTTATCCAGTGAATATACCAATGTCATATTTTTTTGCGTATTAACCCATGTAATATTACCTATCAGCCCTGTGAATAGTTGTAAGCTTCAATTGTTTCAATTGTGACGTCACGCCTAGGACAAGTACATGACGTCACAGGCTAACGCACTTAAGTCAAAATGGCGACTTTTTACATTTCGAGGTTGCATAAATGATGACGTTGTACACGAGTAAATGCCACAAATCTTGGTTATGTGATAAAAAGGATCTTACACTCGTTTTCATTTGATATGAAATGGAAACTCCTGTCAGATCCTATATATATGTGATATATTGTCTATTTATTACATACCTGTTACATACCAATTGTATTATATATTTTGCAAAACATTTTGCATCATTACTCCGGGCCGCGGCGGCCGAGTGGTTTTCTTCGATCACTAGCCCTCCACTGAGTCGCAGGTTTGAGGTCTTCGTGGGGGCAGTCGTCATGTACCGCCCGCAGGTCGGTGTGTTTTCTCCTGGTGTTCCGGTTTTCCTTTTCGACCAAAACCTGACTTGTTTTTAAAAGACCATAGATGTTAATAACCGTATTAAGTTCAATTTGCTTTCTGGAAAATTGAACCGAAAAAACAATGGCGGACAAAACGACGCTAATGGCGTAATAACGATGTCACGTAGGGTTAAATGACGATACAATATTCGGAAAACCCTAATTGTTTAAACTTTTCGATTTGATGAGTGAACAACAAGAGATAAATTCCTGCCAAATTACTTCGGCTAGTTGTAGATAAATAAATAAATAAATATACAACATTTGATATAGCGCCCTATCTAGCTAACATAAACCACTCTAAAGCGCTTTACAGTACATAGATAGACAATTGTAAACAGTCAATACAATTAGCATATATATTCATCAATACAATAATGAGGAATTCGTCGGAGCTGCCTTATCAGGCGCTAACTACTAGTCCTATGCCACCTGGCTAATATCTCCCTATGTGCGTATGCCTGTTTTCGTGCTGGAGATGTATTGTGTTCCGTTTGTAGTGGGACCGTACTTCAAACGGTATCATTTACAGTGCCACCTCACTTGAATGCTACAGCACAGATACCAATAACTTGTATTATCTCACTGTGAAATGCAGCAACTTTTATTACATGGCTTAAGGACTGGTTGTAACTGTGTATTAAGGTTCACCCTGCTCCTGGGTATGTACAAAATATGTATGGTCAACAACTTAAGTGAAGTCAGCGGCCATCGAATCAAAGCCGTTCTTTGATAACTGTTTATCAATTTATTTATTTCTGTATATATTTTTAATGCAAAGATATTAACGAAACACATTCCGCCAATCTTAGTCACTTGAACGATTTATTGAAAGCGATTCATGGTGTTATTAAAAGCGGATTACCAAGTATAATGATGTCAAATATAAACATGGCGTCATTACCAAACGAGGTAGGCTCTGTTGGTGGCGCTCGAAATAGTCTCGTTCGTCGTTAGATCATAACAATAAAAAGGCGGGAAAAAATACGTACAAAACAATTAATTTCGTATTTTCTTATGAAACCCACGCATTTTATTATCGTTCAGTATACATGTCGATGACACATGCTGATTTAAACAGAAATTAGTAGGTTTCTGCGTGCGTTACTATTGCCTTTCTTTCAGTGTTGACTCACTTTGCTCTTGTTATCTACTTAGTCACAACTTAACAAGAATGGTTTAACTGCATGACTGTTCTATTTTATACAACGAGTCTTAAACTGAGGCTGGTTTCTGGTCTATAAGCATTACTTAGGGTTTAATATGGTCCTAAATGTCCCTCATATTTTCATACTTTGCACATAGTCTTTTTATTTTAGTTTATATATAAAAAAAATGCCGTTATTTTTTTTTATTTATTTGATTTTTCTCCTTCTCTGGCTTTGTTTAGAATTTGGTTAAATAACATAATAGCTAAAACGACGGAGTCCACGCGTTGCTACCGACATCCCAATCTGACTGTACGTATCCCCGCACCGGTCTTAATTCCTCACATATTGTTAGAGTGACATAACACTGCACTTACTTGAAATATACGAAGAAATCTTCCAGTTTATCAATCCTAAGTGCTCTGTATGACTTGTGGAAATGTGGATTGTCTTATGTGAGAATTTGGACCAAGATACGGAAATATAAAGACTCGAGCTCCGGTCCGAGTTCCCGGTGATAAATCGTGCTTAATGTTTTCTGGTGTAAATCCGCTAATACTCGGCTTGTAGTAACACATTCATCGGTGGATTATTGGGGTCCTGGTCCGCTCCAGTACCTCCGGTTACTGATTGAAATTGATGAACACGAAATATGTCATTATTTTGCAATGAATGTCGTGTAATAATTGAAACTGAATCTGGACTAGCCTGTTAGACGTACGGGAGACAAGGCAATCCCCAGTCGTTATTATCAAACCCAAAGTGTCACAATATCTCTATTTCGTATTCATTAAAAATCAATTGTCGACAGTCAATTCCGTCCTACGTCATTGTCCATAGTTAATGTGCTCCACTACAAATAAAAAGGATACAATTTATTTGCCCTTACTCATAAAAAGGAGATTTTCCGAGGATCAACGCGGAAATTTATGTAGAAATTATATAACTTATTCGATTTTAATCACGAACTGGTGGTTTGGAGCCGGGCTATAATATCGTATCGGCGTTTTCATTGAGATATTGTTTTGTTTTATAGGTTAGCGGTGGCCTTGATACTTACCGCAGAGACCGATTTTATAGCGAGAAACAGAAGTATAAACAGTTGTTAGCCTCGCACGAACGTAAAAAGGAGAGGTACAAAAGACGGGACAAACACGCCAAACACAAACAGTTCGGACGACCGGACGACATAGTCAGAACCGGAAGTGAGGAGGAAAATGAAACGCACGTCCGACAACGGAGGAACACGCGTAAAAGGAGCATGCGCAAACGTGACGATGAATTAATGGCGTCAATTGAGCGCCGGGAGAGGATCTTACGCATACACATGGATAGAATGAACCAGCATTACTTGTCCCCTACAGATACAAAGGTGCCTAGTGAATATTCGTATAGGTCGTCTTTCCAGCAAGAGTCAAATGATTACCCGTCATACACTCGAACACAAATGGCTGAAACCGGTCGTCCGCTTTATCGATACATGGAGCCCGTTAATAGACCACCCCAATATCCCGTGGAACCCGAACAGCGCCCATTACATGCGGGACAGTCTGAACTTCCGGTAATCCCGACCAAGCCGAAGTATTATACACACATTCCACTCCCAGAAAATGTAGAAAGTGAAAGACAACCGGTATTGGAGAACGAACGCGAGGATGCCCGCCACAAACGAGCCTCTGTGTTAAACAGGGTGGAGAAACTGCTAAACGATATGGACAGACAAATGAACGGAGGAGAAATTATTTTAAAATCCAAAGCAAAACGTAGTAGAAAAAAGTTTATAAAGAAAAAAGAGGATACGGATTCCGGAGATGACAGCTACGTGTTCGTGAAGACAACTGTTACGCCGACGCCGCCTCCTTACTCGGAGTCCCACTCCGATGTAGATGTATCCCTCCCAAGTCTCCCCGCCAGCTCCCTGGGTCCACAGATAGTGTCGAGGATGTCATTTCCGTCCGGAGTTAAGGTAAGATACAGTAGAATTAAAACCATATGTATACCATTGTACATGACGTATTCAAAATACATCAGCAGATAAGTTTAACCGGATGGAGTCAAATAGATTGTGAAGTAATCGAACTGAATCCATGATTAAACATAGAAATATTTAAGAGTTTAATTCTGAGAATTATTATATCATTATTGAAGTTGGATTATGTAAAGTGTATTTTGAGAAGCATCCTTTAATTATTTGATGTCCGATAGGTGGATTTATTTCTGTTAAACATCCAATCACAATTGGAGTCTGGTGTGCTAAATACTTCTAAGGGATATTCTGTCAGCGTCAATGTGTTAAGTTTATTTCTCAGATACGATCTGCCATTGTTGGATTTCTCTGTGTTGAATTTGTTTTCTAAGAGACATTTGTTTTCATTTTTGGAGTTCCGGCATGTTACATGTATTAAGGTGTATTCGGAATACCTCGGTCGATATTTACTTTATATTTACTTTATAATAACAGAACAAAACGTATGTGTTAGAAATTATCGAATGTTCTATTGAGTGTAACATGTAAGTATGAAGAACATAATAATTGAGTAGGTGGAAGGGTAGATTATATCCACATTTCAGGGATGTCTGGGTGAGACTCTACTTGTTCTAGTCTGCACAGCTGTATAATTGAGTATTATGTAACATCCTAAGCAATCATATACCGAACACTTATCAATGAGGCAGAGATTGTCTTTGCCTTTTGGTCCGGACGCCAACTGATGCATTGTCGCGTCTTGCTTTCTATAAGTATGGCGTAATTATATATAGAATCATTTAGATACTTTTTCTCCAGAGCTACATTGTTAGTAGGATGCCTGCTCTGTATTACGTTTCCTTATCGTATTGCCACTTATAGGTCCAGATTTGTTTCGAATTTTCGTGAAGCTATATCTAACATAATGTGTTTTGTGAAATACAGTAATAACCCGATGGCGTGATTTTTAGATGACGTTTATCTTGTAGCATTTTGACACGTAGTGTTGATACTTGTCTTTATTTTTTTTAAATTAGACTTTAGGAAATGACTTGTTTTTTTGTTCATTATATTAGAAATAAATAAAACATGTATATTAAGGTTATTTAGGACATTACCCTCCGCTTCTTATAGTTACAGAGAATTTCCTGAAACATGAGACACATTTTATTTCCGCATTATCGGTATTAAAGTTCAGTTTATATATCGATTTAAGTTACAAAGAATATGGCATAACACATAAAACCTCTTATGTATACATGACAATCAACAAACAATCGTAAACCAAAGAGATTCCAATAGCTCTCCCACACCATCGCCTTTTCAGAGTTTTGTATAATGCCAAAGCTCCACAGAAGTGAACGAGTTTAGAAACCACGCTGTCTCAATCCTTAGCTTATTTGAAAGACGCAATAATTGAAAAAAAAAATCTAGGCCAATGTGACGTCAGACAATTCGGAGAATTTAAGAAAAGAAAGTTCGATCGATACGTAAAGTCCAGATCTCTTTACATATATTATAGTTATACGTTCATTGTTCTGTAACTACTGTAGCTATGCGTTCATAGCTCGATAAATGATGTAGGTATAGGTTAAGATTAATTTCCATTAAAGAAGTGTGTTCATAGCTCTGTAATTACTATAGCCATATCTTAATATAAACGGTTTAGTAATATTTCTGTTTTGATTAAAACATATTTCATTTGCAAAAAATACAAAAAGGATTAGACACAAGTTAAAAAATAATAAGTCGACTCCATCTCTTTAAACAACATGTTCATGGTTCTGTCATTACAGTTTCTATAAGTACTTTAAACATATTGTATTGGCAATTAATTTGACCAAGGGATTAGGCACAAGTTTTTACAACTTACCGCAGCCTTCTCCCGTCGTACAATTAGGCATAAACATGAAGTAGATACATATATAATATTCACACAGGTACAAAAACACAACATAAAAAACACCGTTCAAAATATAACGCTTGATTTAAATTGATGAAGTGGTGCACATGGCTAAAAATGTCAGAGCTAAGGTCCACCGAAAGATCTGAACAGCCAAATAAAAGAAGCTCCAAATTAAAGTCTATACCTAAGGCATTCAAGTTTTAAAACAAAATACGCCTTTCATTGCATAAAAGTTGACACTCTAAGAAAACGTGAAAGGAATTCTCACAGATGCAAACTGGATTTTCGACAAGATTAACTCTAAAACGGTCATACTAAAGGGAACTACACTTGTGCCTCAGTTTAGGAGGGGATGTTGTACATTTAAANTAAAAGAGTTTTTTTTTTTTTTTTTTTTTTTCTAAAATAAATATATTAGTTATACGTTTACAACTCTGTAAATATTAAAGCTATCATTTCATAGCTCTATAAATAGTATAACCATAGGTCTAAAACTGTCATAATTATAATCTCTACAAATATATGAGATATACGTTCATTGCTCCATGAATGTTGTAGCGATAAGGCATACTTTTACTTCTATATATTATATCTATAAATTAAAATCTCTATAGTATGATCACTATCAGCTATTAGCTATATTAACTGCTGTTATATATTCATAGCTCGGATAATATGACAGCTTTAAATTCATTGCTCTTTCAGTGTACTAGCGATAAGCCATGATTTTATAGATATGTTAGCTACCGTTGTAAGTTTAAAGCTCTCAAAGTATAATGGAATTGAGCAATTTCATCTTGTTATCAAGCCCATACATACATACATTGTACATACATGTAGCTCTGTATATTATTATTAAAGCTATACACGTTTATAACTCTGTATAAATGATAGTCCTTATGTTTATAGCGCCGTAACGATTACATATAAATATATAACTCCAGAGCGTGGTTCAACAGTAGTAGAAATAGAATTATAAGTTCGTAGCTGTGTTTTCCGACACTGATTGCACGGTTAATGCCGATAATACACTGCTGCTTTCACGGTTATCTCCCTCTAAGCACACAAGTCCAGAAATTGCACAGTTCGACATGCATTGCAAGTTGTATTATCTGGACTCGACTGAAAAATAAACATGGCGTCTGATGTCTCATCAAAATTTAATGTATAGGTTGCCAGAAAAAGCAGTTGTTTACAAACTAATCAGTATGTATGCTTGTATTATTGTGGATGTAAACCGAGGATGACAAAATACAAATGACAAAAAACAATTAATGAAAGCCCTTAATTTCCAAATTATCGAATCTCGACTATCGTACTATAAAACGAATACCACCAAATATATGCAAGAATGTATTGATTTTAGCTGGTCTACCGTGAAAAAGGGATTAAATTAACTTCACATATTGTCAGGTCGCTAGACCTAGATATCTATTAGTTGTCACGTGATTTCTCGTTTTCATTTTACCAACAGGCCGATGTAACATTCTATGTTATCATTCCTGACGCTGCAGCCAGTGGTCGTGTTTGGCTAATTAAAATGGAACATTTTAAGATGTACAAGCCCGCGTGCATCCTCACTCGACAAAGCTAATTTGTGAAAGACCACTGGCTCATACACAGCACATTTGTTAACCCTTAAAGCACTAAGCCCTTTGTCAGAATAATGTCACCTATGGGCGGCCGTTTTACATTGTCGGTAGAGAGCAGTATGTCAACATGGGGACACAAACTTTTGAAGGTCTTTATTATACATTGACAGTAAAGAGCAGTATGTCAACATGGGGACACAAACTGTTAAATGTCATTATTATACATTGACAGACGAGAGCAGTATGTCAACATGGGGACACAAGCTGCTGAATGTCTTTATTATACATTGACAGTAGAGAGCAGTATGTCAATATGAGGATACAAGCTGTTGAAGGTCTTTCTTATACATTGACAGTAGGGAGCAGTATGTCAACATGGGGACACAAGCTGTTGAATGTTTTTATTATATATTGCGGTAGGGAGCAGTATGTCAACATGGGGACACAAGCTGTTGAATGTTTTTATTATACATTGTCGGTAGGGAGCAGTATGTCAACATTGGGACACAAGCTGTTGAAGGTCTTTATTATACATTGTCGGTAGGGAGCAGTATGTCAACATGGGGACACAAGCTGTTGAATGTTTTTATTATAACATAACTTGACAGTAGAAAGCAGTATGTCAACATGGGGACACAAGCTGTTGAATGTCTTTATTATAACTTGACAGTAGGGAGCAGTATGTCGACATGGGGACACAAGCTGCTGAAGGTTTTTATTATACATTGACAGTAGAGAGCAGTATGTCGACATGGGGACACAAGCTGTTGAATGTCTTTATTATACATTGACAGTAGAGAGCAGTATGTCAACGGTCTTTATTATACATTGACAGTAAAGAGCAGTATGTCAACATGGGGACACAAAATGTTGAATGTCTTTATTATACATTGTCGGTAGAGAGCAGTGTGTCAACATGGGGACAAACGCTGTTGAATGTCTTTATTATACATTGACAGTAGGGATCAGTATGTCGACATGGGGACACAAGCTGTTGAAGGTCTTTAGTATATATTGTCAGTAGAGAGCAGGATGTCAACATGGGGACACAAACTGTTGAAGGTCTTTATTATACATTGTCGGTAGAGAGCAGTATGTCAACATGGGGACACAATCTGTTGAATGTCTTTATTATAACTTGACAGTAGGGAGCAGTATGTCGACATGGGGACACAAGCTGTTGAAGGTCTTTAGTATATATTGTCAGTAGAGAGCAGGATGTCAACATGGGGACACAAACTGTTGAAGGGCTTTATTATACATTGTCGGTAGGGAGCAGTATGTCAACATTGGGACACAAGCTGTTGAAGGGCTTTATTATACATTGTCGGTAGGGAGCAGTATGTCAACATTGGGACACAAGCTGTTGAAGGTCTTTATTATACATTGTCAGTAGAGAGAAGTATGTCAACATGGGGACACAAACTGTTAAATGTCTTTATTATACATTGTCGGTAGAGAGCAGGATGTCAACATGGGGACACAAACTGTTGAATGTCTTT